TTCATATTTATGTAGTGCCGCAATTTCGACTTCCTTTTTGCTCCTGTGACGTCATCTTTGACCTGACCTGAAAATGACCTCAATAAAATTATAAACCTTATCCGTGTGTACCCTGCACCGTTTACCGCTTGTCGCTATCTTGCTTTATTCTCGAGATCTCGCTGTCGCTCCCGCTCGTCACGTGACCTAAGGTCAACTTTTGACCTTTCCACCTTTCGAGGTCAACATACATATGTTTCGATGCGGATCGACGAGAGGATCACGATGGTGCTATTGGTTTGTTCCTAGCTGGGATACCTTGAAAGTTATTCGAGAAAAACTTCATATATATGTAGTGCCGCAATTTTGACTTCTTTTTTGCTCCTGTGACGTCATCTTTGACCTGACCTGAAAATGACCTTAGTAAAAATTATAGACCTTATCCGTTTGTACCCTGCAACGTTTACCACTTGTCGCTATCTTGCTTTATTCTCGAGATCTCACTATCGCTCTCGCTCGTAATAATGGACAGGTCATAAAAATGACCTGACCTGAGGTCAACGCAGGGCGATATCCACTTTTTTTATTTTCGCATATGAATGACAATCGATAAGGCTTTAATCGTCATCAGACAAAATTGCAACTTTCAGTGGGGAAAATATCAAGGTCACTCTTCGAAAAATAGGTCAAAAGGTCACGTGATCAAAATTTTCAAAAAATGAAAATCCGAGATAGCCAAAATGTTTGTTGTCTGATTGTGAGTTGAACCATATAAAGTTTTTAACGTAGAAAACCAATAGTTTTTGAGTTATAGGCCGCCAAACATAGGGCTGCAGCGCGACCTCCAGGAATTGCCCGAGGCTATATCTCGGAAACCGTTGTTCGGAGAAAAAAATCCTTGCCACAGCTGGCTTCCCCGCCCATCGCAACCCCTTACACCAGTTTTCAACGAAAAATAAAATATGAGGGTGCAAATTTAATTTTTTATATGTCGATTTGTCGTGGAACGCCCCCCAAATTCGTTGACACTTGTCCCATTGCACGGACATTTGGGTGCCTGCTGCCACCAGTGACGTCATCATAGTATGCTTTTTTAAAGAAACAATTTCCAGCTACTTACCGTGCACAATTTGAAATCGGTTATTTTTTCGGTAAGAAATTCTTCGCCAGACACTGAAGCTGCCAAAACTCACGTGAGAGCTTCGATATTGAACTTTGAGCCAGCGTCCTTTTGAAAAAAAAAAACGAACTATAGCGTCTCGGACTACAAATCCGTGGGTCGTGAGTTCGCATCTCGGAGGCCACGCATGTTTATGCGATGAAGTTCGAATCATGTTTGCATTATAAAGAAGAAAAGTGTTTAACGGAGAACATATGTTATTTGTAATACCAGCTTGATCCTTAGGTCGATCACAAGTGCTATCTCGTGCTATCTCAATCAAAAGTGATATCTTGCTCAGCAGTATCAAACAATCACTAGGTACATTTTTTAGCTAAATGTAAATTAAATTAGCGGAGTATTTGTTAACGGTGATTCTTTTCCCGAAAAAACCTACAGATGCCCGATATAGGTACTTACGATGTTATACCAATGCGTAGCGCTAGTCACAATTCCTCTGCGCAATACTCGGCCTCACAACCGACACAACGAGGTTCGATCACTAAGACTTTTCAAATTTAACTGACCAGTAGGATCTTCGGGGAGCTATCGCCGGCGCCATAAACAGACCTCGGACGTTATGGGATGGTAGGACTGAGACTCCGCCGAATCGTCATAAACCGTGGGCAAGGCAAGGCCGTATAAGAGGGACAAGGGACTGCGGTCTTCGCCGCTCTCCATGGGCCTAACAACCGTATCTCTTGGTGTCTCGAACAAGCTGAGGTTGTTGGTGATACTTACTAATTGTAACAAAGTTCATTCCCAGCCCCCTACCTTACTAACAATGTCCTTTTATGGTCCTCGTTCCTTACCTGTGACGCCTGTCCTGACCCGCTTCTGATTGGTGTTATGATATGACGTACATGTGTGACGTATGTATGACGCATGGTATATGTCGCGCCGGAGCGGGCCGAAGCCCGGCAGTGGGAGTCGCAGTCGCAGTCGGACCGAGTGAGGGCCGCTCCCTCGCCGGTCGCTTATCTTCACTTGTTCTTTTCGGCTCGTCATCTCGATTGAACTCACTATCTCGGACATTCAAATATATCATGGAAAAGTGAAACAGTTTATTGGAAAAGCACGAAGAACTAGACTATCAACGAACATTATTACAAGATATTTGGTGCCGTGACCCGGATAACGTCGGGCAAAGACTTTTGAAAAAAAAAAATTGCGCGTCTTCGACTCATCTCTGGCGGACTTCTGGGCATCTGGACATCTCTTCACTACAAAGCAGCGGAACAGTGAGCCATTCCATCCTTTTCTTCTTTAAAAACACTCTCGCTTTCATTGTTTGTTTCTTTGTGTCACTGAATTGTTTGAAAAATGACCGAGGCCTCAATTGTAACGACAGCTCTAAACAGTGTAGTGCAAGAGATCCGAATATCAAGCTTAACTAAACACGTCAGGCCCTTCCACGGCGAGGGGACAGCTAAATTTTACCAATGGCTAACGGATATGATATGGACCAGCTTTCGAACACAGTTGACTCAGACAGGATGTGTGTTCTGGCCACCCTTACTCTCGGGGGACCAGCCGGGCTTTTCGTGGCCCGCCTGACAAAAACTCACGTCTCTTGGACAGAACTACGAGAAAAGCTCAGGAAAAGGTACGGAGAGACGGAGGATCCTCGTATCTCAAAAGAAAAAATCCGTCATATTAAACAGAACAAAGGAGAAGCAGTACACAACTTTGCGGAAAGACTTCGCGCCGCCGCGGCTGACATGTTTTCTGACATTGACAGCCCCGACGCCCAGGACGTACTAACGGACACCTTTCAGCGGGGACTGAGGGACGATCGACTTGCTAGGACACTGATTAGGAAGAACTGTAAAACGTTGGACGAGCTAGAACATGAAGCGGAACAGGAGACAAGGACGGACAAAATATTTAGTTTGTACCGTAGGGACGAGGAACCAATGGACGTAGACATAGTGAAAAAGGACGAGGTAGAGGAACTGAGGAAAAAAGTGACTGACTTGGAAAAGAAACTGGAACAACGAAACACGACACAAAACCGCGGACAGACACAAAGACAAAACCGACCACGTGTGACGACGACACGACCACCTGTACCACCACCGCCACACATGTACGTGCCGACACAACCACCTGTACCACCGCCGCCGCCTCACATGTATAACATGCCACCGCCTCCACAACCACACCGCCACAAATGGACACGAGACGGCCGGCCAATCTGCTCTGTCTGTGGACGGATCGGCCACACCAGCAGATTCTGCCGGGCGGAAAACTGAAAAGGGCCCCTGGGAAAGACGGACCTCCTAGGCGGGCCCAAACAAACGGTGGTCCAAGAGACCCCGTTTCATCCAATATTCAAAATGGCCCCCAAATTGCGCGCGTCTCGGTAAAACCTGACACACCAATGTGCTGGTTACATTTAGGAGGTAGGAAAACGTATGCTCTGGTGGATTCAGGTGCGGATATTTCATTGATCTCTAAGGAGGCTTTTGACAAAATTCCAAGGAAAAATATTCGCGAGTTTTCAACTGCGGACTGCACCCCTCTCCAATCAGTGTCAGGACATAGGCTGGAAAATTTTGCAACGGCTGTGATTCAGGTCAGTATCGCTGGTTTTGATCAGCCCTATCGTTTTCAGGTTGTTAAGGGCCTCAAAAATCAGTGCATCTTGGGAAATGACTTTCTGACGGAATTCTCGGCTAAACTGGACTTCGGACAAAGAACTCTGAACTTGGATGGTCATATCATCCCTCTTCGACCCCAAAAACTTACATGTCATTCTGCAACTTCGCTCATTCGTCTGTCGGAACCGGTCACAATTCCCGCTCAGTCATACATGGAAATTCCTGCAAAAGCAAATCGTGACCAGCTCATTAACCAGGATTGTTTAGTACAGCCGCTCAACAATGTTCCGATTTTAGGAGACGAACCTGGTCTTTCGTTAGTAAGTAGTGTGAGCAAGGTCATCGAAACACGTTAGGTTGCTGTAGTCATTGTTAACGCCACCGGCAGGGACTATACGTTGCCCGCTCGCTCTGTGGTTGGGATTGCTGAGGTAATTGAGGACATTGAATCATGCATTTCGTCTGTGAACCAACCCAGTCAGGATTCAGCAGGACCGGATGACATTCCGGAAATTCAAAAGGCTGACCTGTCTCATATGTCCGAGCAACAGCGCCAAAAGTTAGTGGCTTTATTGGAACGTAACAGTGACCTCTTTGCCAAAAATGATTGTGAATTAGGAAGGACTCATCTTTTGAAAGCGAAAATTGACACTGGCGACCATCCTCCCTAGTGAAAAAATCCTTAAGGACAGTCCTATGTATTTCTTAAGGACGATCCTTAACAAAATCCTTGTACGAAATTGATACACAATCCTTAAGGATTTTGTTAGAAATTCCTTAAGGATTCTGCGGAAAATCCGTAAGGATTTTTAGCTAAATCCTTAAGGATCTCTAGCAATGTCTTTAAGGACATTGGTAATAATCTTTAAGGACTTTGTGGTTTTTCCTTAAATATTTGTAGCAAAATCTTTAAGGATCTTGGCGACAATCCTCAAGGATTTTGAGGCTCTTCCTTAATGAATGATATATAAATCCGTAAGGATCAAACCCTAGCAAACACATTTGTACGGTCTCTGGTGCTATATTTTTTACTTAAAACGAGCACATTTAGCCATTTTTCATTGCCAGGAATGGAGCAGCCGCCAACCACAGGCGACCGGGTATACATATATGGAGCTCTAGGCATACGCAGGTTGCAGCTGAGGCTCCGAGAAATATAAGCCGAGGACTTCCGAAAAACATATTTACATGAAGATAAGTCTACACTTTTTCGAGTCAGCCACGCTTCAGATATTATCACGTCACACGTCCTCAGCCGCCGCTCCTACGCCATCCACATTCTACACATCTTGAGCGGTTGAGTCGCCCGTCGCCTGTCGAGTCTTGCATCCTGCGTTCCTGTAACAAGGCGGATATTCCTATGTAATAACAGTAATATACTGATCAACAATACCTAACTACTCAAAGGCTCACGAATTCTACTCTTAGGCTTAGACTGCAGTCCCAGCCAAAGAATATTGGTGAGCCTTTGAGTAAATTCAGTTCAGTCATTTCCAGCTTAGATGCCTGTGTATGTTCATTTAGCAATGCATCACATATGCACCTACGTCCTACTACCCTGAATCCATTCTATTATATTCACCTGGGCCTCGTTCCAAGGCATGACGCTAAAAGACGCTACCGGTAGTACTTTCATTTGCCGCAGCCAAATGAATGACGACGACGATCGCCATTAATTGAAGTGAACGTTTCAGCGCCGGTTTTTGTATCTATCAATGCAATAACTAGGATCAATTATCTCATTGATACACAGCATGGCAGAGACTTACATGGCCCGAAGAGGAGACGGCAGACGGCACAACACACTCAACAGACTCGTCCGCATCCCGCGAGCGGCAGCGGCACAATGCGACAGGGGGACGCGCGGTCTCCCCTCTTGCCGGAGGCGAGGATCAGACCGCCCGCTGCCGCCCGTACAGTCTTTAAAACGGTCAGCGGTCGCTAAATTCCAGCCGGTACGGTCTCTGGAAGAGCACAGCGCAAACACTGTGGCACCGGTGGCACTAAGGCCATACGATACATGCATACTGTGGCACTTGGTTGAGATACCAATAGGTACTTTTTATCAGAACTATTCGTCTATCCGATTTGGAGTCTGGGTGAACCCAGCGTGGACATTTAGGTGACCATCCCAGCTGAATATTAATTCTGAGTTAAGATAGCCAAATTGTTATCCCTGGCTCACAATCACCGGTTTTGGCACTCGCAATATCGAGAAATGCCATAAATAGAAAATATTTAATTTCAAAGTTCAGCACAAAAGTGGGGGCAAGCTGATCCCACTGCCCCCCTCGCCTCCCGGTTCCCGCGCCTATGATGATAGCGAACGCTGCTTTGGTCCGTCACAAAGTTTTTACATGCCGTATATGTCATATGGCTAAGAAATTATCGGATACGGAGCACGAAATAATAGTAGGGATGATTCAATCACTCCATAATGATTGACGTACTGGCTGCATCAGCTATCCTGAAGGATTAAGCGACACTAGCAAGTAGCAATTTCCTTACGGAATACTGAGCGATCCTTAAGGATACCAAACATCGCCCTAAAATCCTTACGGATCGGCGAATGCGTCCTTAAGGATTCAAGAGGGTCCGTAGAGTCCTTAAGGATTTCATATCTGATCCTTATGGGTCCTTATGGATCCTTAAGGATTGTGGGGATTCTGGCGAAATCCTTAAGGACTTTTTCACTAGGGCTCCTATTAAACAAAATCCATATCGGCTACCATTCAGTCAACGACAACTAGTGCAAGAACATATTGATTACATGTTAAAAGCAGGTGTGATTTCCCCCAGTCAAAGTCCGTGGGCAAGCCCCATTGTGATAGTGGACAAAAAGGACGGATCAAAAAGATTTTGCGTGGATTTGCGTGCGTTAAATCGGATTACCAAAAAGAACAGTCACCCCTTGCCACGTATCGACGATGGTTCTGCGACACCAGAGCGAGCGTCATTTCAGCGAACGACATTTGAGCGAAGCCTTTTCAGCGATTATCAATTTATGCGATTGACTTTTTCAGCGATTGTCAAGTCGGCGAATTCAATGACAGCGATTATCAACTTCAGCGAGGACCAGAATCATCGAAACCAGATTGAGCGAATATATGGAGGTCAATGGGGGACCAATTGAGCGAACACAGTTACAGCGAAACCGAACGCGACGGAAGTCAATCATTTGCTACTTTTCGGGAATTCTTGCCCTTGGAATAGGTACCCGCTTGGTATGTGTCATGCTTCAAGCTGCGCGCGGCAAATTAAAAATTTGCTTTTAAGCTTGGAAACCACAAAAATATCTGGCCTCATTCTGCAACCTTGATCTGGAAATGTGGAACGTGAGAGATAGGACGATGGAAGGAATGCCAAGGACATATGATAAACTCGATGGATGGCACGGGGGATCCAGTCTATGTTTCAGGGACCTCACCCAAATATCTGGAAATTCGTACGTTGCTTGGGGCAAGAACACATTTTACAACATGGGGAACTGATCCAAATTCAAGCGGGGGAATTTCGCAAAAAAAAACAGCACAAGCAATATGAATCTCTGAACTAACGTTTGGTCATCATTATTGGCAAACAGCGGGGGGGGGGGGTGAAGTCGAACCGCTGGAGTTTTTGAGAAATGTGGCATTAAATTTGGAGCTTAATGTCTGAACTTTGAACGTGACATCCGCCATCCAGTTCCGGATAACCATGAAAAGTTCTGGAAACATTCGTTGTACGTACGCTGGCAAAATAAAAAATAAATACACTGTTATGCCTGAAACAGACTCTTTCCGCAGTCAGGAAATCGCGTGCGAGAGCCTATTCAAATACATGGAAGCACGCTCGCATCAATCGCACGCACCTCCGGATGCGATTGATGCGGGAAGAATTATAATGTATTTGAATAGGCTCTCGCATGCGATTTCCTGTATGTTTGATGCAGACAGTTGCAATGCAATCCAGCCATCCAAGAAACTTTGCGCGAGACGTTTTCTTGGATGGTTTTCTTGGATAGCTTGATGTCATCGAGGGCTTCTGTTTTAAAGAAAATTTGTAAGCTTTGCTTAACTCTTAAGTAATTAGAAGTGCCAGTATTTCAGTATCTAACGTGTAGTTATTGTTACTGTATTTTATTTATGCATATTTCGGCCTTTTTTAAGCAGATAATGAACGATATTAAGAAACATACAGGAAATAATGTCTAGGACTCTACCGCGACGAAATATTTCTATCTCGAGTTTTCAAAGAATTTCATGCACTCGGCCAAGGCCTCGTGCATGAAATCCTTTGAAAACTCTCGATAGAAATATTTCGTTTTCGCGGTATCGTCCAAGAATGTATATTCCTGAACGCGGAAAGAGTCTGTTTCAGCCTTTACGGGACGATGAAGTGTTTCACTGAAATGACAGTCGCTCAAACTGTAGTCGACGAAAAAGATGTCGCTGAAACATAGCTTTCGCTTAAATTGATAATCGCTATATTTGATAATCGCTCAATTTGATATTCGCTTAGTTAGCAGTCGCTGAAAATGGTTCGCTCAAATGACGTTCGCTCAAATGACACTCGCCAAAGTCGCTCGCACCGATCGACGATATACTGGCCTCACTTGATGGATCAAAATATTTTTCGTGTCTGGACCTCCGCAGCGGCTGTTGGCAAATTCCTATGGATGAGGACTCAAAAGAAAAGACTGCGTTTACTTGTTTTGCAGGTTTACATCATTTCAATGTACTTCCATTTGGATTGGTTTCAGCACCTGGTATTTTCTCTGAACTTATGAACGAGGTTCTACGCGGAATTCAGTACAAATTTACCATAGCTTATTTGGACGATATCCTGATTTAATCAAAAACGTTTGAGGACCATCTGGAACATATTGACGCTGTCTTTTCGCGGTTACGGAACGCCGGACTAAAAATGAAAATGTCGAAGTGCGAGTTCTTGAAAAAGGAGGTAAATTATTTAGGCCATGTCGTTTCCGCCAGTGGTGTCAAACCGGATCCATCAAAAGTTAGTGTTATTCAAAATCTAGAGCCACCAACGGACGTCAGAGGCGTTCGTTCATTTATAGGCATGTGTTCCTACTACCGCCGGTTTGTGCCTCATTTTGCAAAAATAGCCAAACCGCTAACCGAACTGACCAAAAAGAATCGCAATTTCGTTTGGACAGATGCATGCCAAACCGCTTTTGAGACCTTACGTACCTCACTTACTCATGCTCCCATACTTGCTTTTCCGGCTGTGGACAAACCTTACAAATTATATACGGATGCGTCAAATTATGCGATCGGTGCGGCTTTAGTTCAGGATAGTCCATTTGGCGAACGTGTAATTCAATACTTATCTCATCAATTAAACGAAACTCAACAGCGCTGGCCAATCATCGAAAAGGAAGCTTACGCGATTGTGTTCAGTGTCCAAAAATTCCGACCGTACTTGTTAGGATCAAAATTCACTGTATTAACAGACCATAAACCTCTTCAACATTTATTTACAAGCGAAATGAAAAATGCTAGGATACAAAGATGGGCTATCATGTTGGATGAGTACGGGTGTAATGTAGAATACGTCAGTGGCAGTAAGAATGTTGTCGCTGATGCATTGTCACGCTTTGGCCGACCAACGACGAATGATTCGTCACCAGGCCCCACTGATTACGTGAGCCGGAAGGAGGAAAGCGTTTGTGGACAATGGAATGTAAATAGTGTAGATAGACGTAGTGTTCATGTTATAGATTCGGATGCTGCACCTGCCGTGCCACTGGAAACAGATATTACTTGTGAAGACGCTGAGGGGAACAAAAAGGAGAAGTTTCGTGAGTTTTTGAACAATCATCCCGACTTTCAAACACTCCAGTACGAGGACGCTGAGATTCAGCGAATTGTGAAAATTTTGAAGGATCCAACGGCAACCCACCCAAATCATGTTAGTATAGCAAAGTTTTATGTCATGGACGACGGATTATTGTGCCGGGTTTCTGAACCGACAAAGTGCGAAAATTTTGTGGGCATGCAACTTGTTATTCCGGAGTTTCTGCAAAAACCGTTGATTGACGAGGTACATTCGGGTTATTTTGGCGGTCACCTAGGTATTGACAAAACATATGACAAACTGCGTTCTCGTTATTACTGGTCCGGCATGTATAGAGATGTTGTACAGTTTTTGAGGGGCTGTGTTGCCTGCAACATGAGGAAATTAAAACGTCAGCGTCCCCCGTTACAAAACATGCAAGTCCCCAAATATCCTTTTGAACAGATAGCCATAGATACTTCAGGTCCGTTCCCAGAGAGTTATTCAGGAAATCGTTACATTGTCAATATCATTGACTTATTTTCAGGATGGCCGGAATCGTTTGCAACGTCGTCCAAATCCGCCGATACTGTAGCAAAAATTTTGGTTGAACATATAATTCCGTGGCATTCATGTCCCCGTGTCATTGTCTCTGATAATGGAACAGAATTCTGTAACGCTGTCATTGATCAACTGTCCGCCTTCTTCAATATCAAACACATTAAAACGTCGGTATATCACCCTCAGTCCAACGGCAAGGTTGAGCGATTCAATAGAGTACAAAATGATGCATTAGCTAAACTCGTAGACTCTTCTTACAGAGACTGGGATAAAGGTAGGGGGCTGGGAATGAACTTTGTTACATCACAACGCAAGGTCCTAAAAGCTAAAATCTTAAATGAAGATTTTCGTCTTGGAATGCTTCCGATATGATGCATGATATAACGTACAACACACGTTAGTTATCACACAACAAACACACACACACAATGCAACATAAACGACATAGCATAATATACGACACAATACAGTCAAATGCAACACTATCATATAACAGTACACAAACAATACACTTTTTCCCCATGTCCCCATTTTGTTGTAGTCCTTGTAGTAGAGTTCTTTTTCCGAAATGTCCGACCTTAGCACCGTCCGCGATATTTGTTTATAGTCCGGATCCAAAATCAAATGTCTCACCCGTTTGTTCCAATTGAGCACTCACTTTCAGTCATCATGTTCCTCGCAGTCACTATTGTTTCCTTGCACCGCACTCACTCGCTAGATGGCGTCTGTCTTTAGAGCACGCAGCGCTAGGTGGCGCTCGCATCGTTCACAACGCTAGGTGGCGTTTGTCCGCAACCGCTAGGTGGCGCTGTGAGGGGCAACGGCGGGCAGCATCGCGACGGCGAACTTGTCTCGACTTACGTCAGCGAGCGCCTAACGCCGGCCAGTCGAAGCAGAGAGCGAGCGAAGTCGTGCAGGGCGAAGCGGAGTGACGACTACAGCAGTGCGGCGGCAGCGGCAGCCTCGCGACGGCGACTTGCTTCGGCTTACGTCGGGCGTGCGCGCGTGCCAGCCGAGCGATGAAGCGTGCGATGAAGAATGGTGACCGGCGATGACACGGATGGCCCCCCGATGATGTCAGATGACCGGTGTCAGTTCGTTGTTCGGCGGCT